CACAGGGCGTCACACAGCATCACAGTGTCACCAGTGTTAGAGTGCGACAGAGCATCACACAGTGTCACACAGTGTCACACAGCATTGAATAGCATCGTGCTGTCACACAGTCACATGGCATTGAATGACATCACCGTGTCACCTGGCATGCATGGCATCACAGCAGCACACCGTGTCACCTGGCATTGCATGACATCTCAGAGTCACACAGTGTCACACAGCATTGTGTGGCATCACAGCATCACAGGGTCACATGGCATCTGAGGGACTTGATTGTGGCCCTGGGAAGGGACCTCAGAGTGTCACATGTACTGGACAGTTGCTTCTGCACTGAGCTGCATCCTCAGCCCTTGGTCTCCTAGATTAAAAGCTGCAAGAGCGTAGCCTTGAGACACTGATATCCAAGCTTCCTGAAACAAAAAGTACAAGGATAAGTAAGAGAAACGCAGAGACAGAAAGAGAAAAGAGGGAAAAAATGGAGAGAGAGGGGGGGGAGGAGGGAGAGAGAGATTCCCAAGGCCTTAACATTCCTCAGCAAGCTTATAAATGCCCACTGGGCACGGTTGTGTTAGAGCTGGGCATTGGCACTCACCACGGACGCGCTGAGGGCCCTGGTAAACAGAGGGAAGGATAGCATGGAGAGTCCATGGGAGATGTTGAGCTGCAGTGTGCAGCCATGCTGCTATTGCTAGCCACAGGGGCAGACACATGCCTGCAGTCCATGCTGACTCCCCACCCCCGATGTGGCCCCACCATGGTGATCTCGTTGGCCAGACAGCCTTTCACAGTCACTGGAGTTCTTCTTCCCTGCCTCTCCTGTCCTTCCCAGCATTTGGGTCTCCCATATCCTGGGGGGCTCTTGTGATGATCTGCAGGATGTGACTGTTTCGGTCTAAATCCAGAAAACTAGTTTTCTCCTATTGGGTATCCCATTTTCTTCCTTTCTTTCTTTCCTTTACAAAGTGTATTCATTACTTAGTGCTGCGCAACAAATCGGTCCCAAAACTTAGCAGCTTAAAACCATAAAGATCTATTAGTGCCACCTCCCCCAAGCATGTGTGGTTAGGGATTGGGGAACATCTTTGCTGGGAGGTTCTGGCTCAAGGTCTCTTGTGAGATTGGCCAGGGACTTACCAGGAGACTGGGGAACAGAAGTCTTGCTTCTTCTTTTTTTTTTTTTTTGTGGGGGGGAGTCTGGTTGTGGGGCCTGAACTCTGGGCCTGGGCCGCTGTCCCTCAGCTCTTCAGCTCAAGGCTAGCGCTCTACCACTTGAGCCACAGCGCCACTTCTGGCTTTTCAAACCCAGGGCCTCAGGCATGCAGGGCAAGTGCTCTACCACTGAGCCGCCTTCCCATCCAGAAGTCTTGCTTCTGAGATAGAGCACTCATGGGGCTGTAGGGAGGAGACTGGGTTCTTGCCATGGGAACCCCAGAGCTGCTGAGTATCTGGACAAAGTGGCAGCCATGCCCCTACCCCAGTCCAGTGAGTGATCTAGGAGAAAGGAAATGGGGAGCAGTATGAAATTGACTGATTATACACCTAAGCTGTATTTAGTGGAGGCCACACAAGGACACGGCCACCAGACGGTCCAGGGCTCACTGGACTTCATCTTGGAGGATGGAAACCTGTATGGGGAATGGCAATTGCTTCCAAGTCTGACGGAGAAGCTCTCCTCCCAGGAGGCTCCGGTGTCTCTAGCTGGCTTGGCATCCCTGAGGGACTGTGACAGTGCTCCTTCCTACACCTTGTGCTTGAAGGGGCCATTTCAGAGCTGGCAGTGAGGTCTGTAAATAGACTAGTGAACTGACTAAACTAATTTGCTGGTCTACAGCTTCCTGGCATGTCTGGAGATTTCCTAATAACTACTAGCTTCAGGTTGGCAATGTGCCAGCCTGGCTGCCTCTCCAGGACCCCAAGCAGACCTGTGACAGCGCCTGAGGGGTTGGTGTGCGGGCCTCTAGGTTTGACATATCTTTGAGTGAACCTCTTTCCTCTCTGTACCTCAATTCTTCCATCTGGAAAAGTGATGATAAGGGGCTGGGCATGGTGGTTTGTGCCTGCAGTGCCAGCTACAGGAGAGGTATAGATAGGAGGCCTTAAACCCATCCAAGCTGGTGCTGGATCTGAAAAAATAACCAAAGCAAAAAGGCCTGTGGCATGATCCAACTCAGAACCCATCGCTCTGAGTTCAAACCCATTACCCTCAAAAGAAAGAAAAGAACAGGAAAGAGGAGAGGAAAAAAGAATGGAAGGGGACTGAAGTTCTGATAGCCCTGGTCTTTCCTGCCACGCAGGCTGTTTGTGGATATGATGCAGTGAGTCACCATGACCCAAAGACTGCCCGTGGGATGCTGGGGGTGGGCACGGTGTCCCCCAGGGGACTCTGTGCAGACTCTGCAGCCCTGTGCGAAGCCCAGGCAGCCTTCCCTCGGCTTCCTGCGCTGCAGGCTCGCAGACCATGCAGCTGTCCAGGGCCCTGGGAGATGCATGCTTTGCACATGCCGTCAGACATTCCAGACAATTCTATCTTTGGAGCTGTTTTCTAAGTGAAGTCTAGTGGGGCGGTAGAGCACGTGTTGGGGGTCACAACTCACTCTCAGTGGCACGCCCAGCACCCCGGGCTCCCCAGAAGCTCTTTCCCTGAGACTTGGCCACCCAGAGCTCCCATAATGCACAGCACCGACTGGTCCTCATTCTCTTGTCATTCTCGGTGTCCTGTGTGAGGAGAGGACTGTGGCTTAGGGCCCCTTCCATGGTATGTCTCAGGCCAGGGCAGGCTGGCACTTCCCCGACGGTTGCAGTCTGATGTGATCATCTGCCTGGTGTAGTTGGGACTGCCCAGGAGAAGACGAGATTGGCTCTGTCACCAGCCCAGGATGCTCACTTTCACTTTGACAAATACAAACCCATTCCACCTGCAGGACTTGTCAGACCCTGGGCTGGTGGCTCCTTTACCTCTGCTGCTGTATCCTTGACCCTTCGCTTAGTGACTTTGTCGGCTCTGAATGGTCACAGGCCTCAGGAGGGGGTCAGTAAGGTGGTACCCGCCGTGCAGGTGGGCAGACACCATATCTCTGCAGTTCATGCTGTTTCCCCCAACAACCTCAGGCTCAGTCCTTGTCCCACCCGCTGCTGTAATCCAGGTGTCCAGTGAACACTGGTCAAAAGACTCCCCAACAGGGGGCTTCCTGCAGAGTACCCACCCCTCCCCCTCAGCCAGGGACCCCTACAGAATCAGTGTCCCCCAGTGCTTAGTTAGCCTCACAAGCTGGCAGGGCAGGCAGCAAATATCACCAGTCTTGGCAGTGTCTTCTCATTCTTATGTTCCTGGGGACTTGGTGTCTGTCTGTCCCTGCCAAATAGTGGGCAAGAGACTCTTCTAGAATCCCTACCCCTCCCACACACGCACAGGCCAGGCCAGGGGCCATAACTCACTCCCCACCCCCCACCCTCACCCCCGCCCAGCTCCCCTGTCCTTAATTGGGCCAATCTGTCTGCCTGACACCTTGCACTCTGGCTCATTTTCTTCACAAAGCCCTCTCCTGTCACTTGACAGATTCTCAGCTGTCATGGGGACATTTTTCAACGTGTGTTCTTCCAGTGATTTCCCAGCCAGGTTTTGCTCTTCTTAAACCCACGGTGGTTTATAATTTCCAAATGATTTACCCTGTTCCCCACTCATTCTCTCCCTTCCCCTTCTCCCACTCTGTCCCAAGTCCCCCTGCCCCTGTGGCACAGACACGTGGGTGTGGGGTGGGCGGGGGTGGGGGATGCTGTAAAGTGGCCTCGCTTGTTCAGCTGTATGGAAGAGCACAGTCTTAGCTGGGGTTCTCCCAAAGCTGGCGTGGTGGAGAGGGAGAGGGGAAGGGAGGCTGGGTTGTTCTCTACTGGCTCCCGTCGCAGTGTTGAGGGTGGGGACAAGGTAAGCGAGCCTTCCTCTCCTTCCTGCCCTCACAGCTAAGTAGCCTTTCTTGGTTTGAGAGCAAACTGCTTGAGGCAAGCTTCCAGAACTATCTGCAGTATTCTCTATTAGCTTCACTGAGATCAGGAGTGAGGAGGTGGCAGGTGCACACAGATTTTCTGGCCACTTATACACACACACACACACACACACACAGAGCTCCCTGAGTTTGAGTTTGAGTCTGACACACACACACACACACACACACACGGCTACCTGAGTTTGAGTCTGTGACACACACACACACACACATACACACACACACACACACCGCTCCCTGAGTTTGAGTCTGTGACACACACACACACACACACACACACACACACACACACACACGGCTCCCTGAGTTTGAGTCTGTCTCTTCGGGCACAAACTCCTTATTTGTTTGTCTTCTTGATAGCCTCTGAGTTTTGAAGGATTTCTGCTTTCTGAAGTAGGCTCTAGCCCAGAGGAACTCTCACCAGACTGTCGGGTCCTCGGAGGGAAAAGGAGGCTAGCCAGGCAGCACTAGGGTAGGTGTCTGTCTCTGGCAGTCAGCCCATGTGAGGAGGGGTGTTGGTGCCCCCAGATGTGTGAAGGAAGGGTCTGGGTCTCCCTGGGGCTTCCCAGCTGTGAACATATTTGGGTGGGTCCTAAATACAATCCAGATGAGGGGTACACATGATGGGGGAGAAAAGCCGGAAGTGGATTGTTTTCATCAACTGGTCTGTGGTCTGTCTGGCGGGGTTCCTTCCTGCTATTCTGGGTGCGTCTCTCAGATCTCTGCTCACTCTGCTGTGGAAAGATCCAGGTTGATGTGTTGGTCTCACCAACCCCTTCTCCCAGGCTCCCGTCTGCCCCTCATCCTGGGAGGTCTGGTGTGGAGCTGGGAGCTTGGCCACTTCCTGATTTCTCCCACCTTCCAGGGAGCATCATGGCAGCACTGCGGCCCTGGAGACAAGTGTCTTCTGGAACATAATGTGAGCAGGGGTCCTTGGATAGGCAGCAGGCAGACAGGACTGGAGAGGACAAGCACGAAGTCAAGCCCCCCCGCTAGGCTATGGTGACACTACCTGAGGACACAGTAGAACTGGAGGTGGAGATTCTCCTGAATTCCAAGTCCCCTGAGGTGAGACCTGACCTCCCCTTCCCAGGCACAAGTCCCCCCCCCCCACCAATCACCAGCTCCAGGGGTTCTGGTCAGGGGTCATCTGCTTGGTTAGAACTGAAGTACCCTCTGCATTCAAGGAAATTCCCCACCCTGGCGCTCTTAAGTATATGAGGCTGGTGGAGTTCTTTCTCTACTGCACTATCTGGTTCTCTCCTGCAAACTTCTAGAATAGACCTGAACACTATTGTTCAGCCAAGCAACATGCTGCCTCGTTCCCCTTTCAAGCAGCTGCAATGCCCATAAGCCACTCTCTGGAGCATTCCCCCTTTGCCAGAAGCTTCCACTCCACCAGGTCCCTGTGCCTCTTGGTTATATAGGTTGAAAGGAAGGCAGCTTTCTATTATTGTTACCAACACCTGAGATATGTCATCTTGTACAGAGAAAAGACTTATGTTGGCCCACAGTTTTGGAAGTTTCTATAATGAGGCTGCATATAGTGGGGCCATGCTGTTTATCTCAGCCAGGAAGAAAAAGAAGGCCAAAAGATCAGGATCCCACAGTCCTCTACAAGGACACACCTCCCAATGACCTACACCCTCACACTAAGCCCCGCCTCTTAAAGGTTCTACCACCTCCCAACAGTACCCTGGCTTGGGGAGCCAGCCTTTCACAATGAGCCTTTGAAGACTTTCCAGATCCAAATTACAGCAGGGTGTGGTGATGCCTAGACAATTTGGATACCTTTAATACTCCCAGATGCACACAGGGGCTTCTTAGTGCTCCTCTCAGGAAAAGGATGTGTGCCTAAAGTATATAACTGTGGGCGGGAACTTTTTAAAGAAAAGTGGCATTTCCTTCTACTCTAAATGTAAACCTTCCCCTCCCCTTTGCTCTGATGGTATCAGTAGCTTCTGTGACTTGATTGTCCATCAAAATCTGACATATTTGCATGGTACTTGAGGTGGTCACAGATAGCTGGAAATGACATTGTACGCTCGTTTCGACTTAAAACCTCCAGTAGTAATTAGACCCGTTGCTAGATCTTGTTATTTTTAATGTGTTCATAAAGAAGCGCTGTTTTTACTGTATCATAAATCCATTCCATATGTCCATCGCTGTAGAGCTGATCTTCTCTATGGTCACTTGCATTTTATTTCGTTTGTTTAAAACCATGGCCATGCAAAGGAATCTGCTCCTTACCCATCCCAAGGGCTACACTCAGAGGAAAGGTTGGGAGCTAGGCTCCATGCCTAAAGGCCTGCACTGGGGTGTCATCCATGACGCTAGACTGCAGGAAAAGTGATCTTCAGTCTTACCCACAGGCAGGGTGGGCCCAGGCCACTGTCTCCAGGGACAGTCCCTGTTCACTCTAGGTGTCTGCATTTAATTACTCCTACTCCTCCCTTCTGCTTTAAAATCACCCTGGCTTGGTAGAGATAGAGTGGTCACCATACATATTTGTGATTGAGATGAGGTGATGTGTGTGTGCGTGTGTGTGTGTTTGTGTGTGTGTGTGTGCTTACTCAGGCGCTGCCCTGGCTGGGAGAGGGGAATGGGTAAAAAACAGTGAGCCTGGAGAGCGCAGACCTTGGAAAGAGAGCAGGAGAAGAGAAGGGACACTTGTGGGAGAAGACATTTGTTCTCTCCTAGACACCCCAGGACCCTGAAGTAGAGTTCTTGACTACACTGGCCTTGGTTTGAGGGGATCTCAAAGCAGACAGATGACCTGTGACCTATGTCCATGTGCAAGCAACTAAGCTGGGCTATGAGCTTGGCTTTCATGCTAATAGGGAGAAAGACCTGGGTCAGAGGTGAGTCCCCAAGGAGTGTCATTTCTCTCTAACACCTGCTGACCCCTGACCTTCCCACAGCAGACCCCCTCCCAAGCAAAAGGGTCAGTGTTCCAAGAGAGGGGCATTCAAAGAATGGTCAGCTTCCTGACCAAGTAGCCAAGAGGCCACCCAGAGCTGGAGCCATTTCCTCCCCATACTGACCCATGCCCCTACCTCCCCCCGCCATTCCAGCGCTGTCTCCTAAACTTCCCAGCTTCCTTGAGCAGACTCCTCATCTGTAAAATGGCAGTGCTAATAGCATCTGTCAGGCAGTGTCCCCACAGGGAACACACACCACACACCACACACAGACCATATACAAAGGGGCTGGGTGCCCAGGGAGCAGAAGGGAATGTAGCTTCTCATAATCCCGCTTGCCCCTGGCCAGGCCAGGTAGCAGGAGCCTGGGACATGGAGAGAAGGCTCCCGTGAGAAACTCAGTAACAGTAGAGAACGGTAGAGAACTGGGTCCAGCATGAGACAGAGGGGCCCAGGGAAATAATAACTGGTCTCAACTTCCTGCCTCCAGTGTCTTCCCTGGCTTGCCATTGGTCTAACCAATGGGCAACCAGAGGGGAGGAGACACATGAACCTGGTTCTCACAGGTTAGCCTAGGCTCAAGCTGTGTGGAGAGGGTAAAGGAATGGAGCTGGAAAGACAGAAGGCTATCCTCACCTGACTCCCTGGGGCAGATTATAGAGCCTTATCCTGTCCAGTACTATTCTTTGTTCTGGGCCTAGTCTATAGGATTCATTACAAGGTGTTGAATGAGCAAATCAATGAGGGCACGCACCTTTACCTGCTGGCAGAAAAGCCTCCTGTCCATGCTATAAGCTCCTAGGGAGAGGCATTGAGGCCCACTGACTGAGGAAGGTGTTGGGTAGAACAGGTGGGCTTGCTTTGGGTGGAGCGTGGGTAAAAGAGACTTTAGATGTGAATCTTCAGATGGTACACATGCTCACAAATGTTGCACACATCTGCTCAAGTCTTAATTGAGGGACAGAATAGGAACTTCTTGGTGCCAGAAGAGCCCAGGTTCTCCAAGTTCCTTTGGATCTTTTTGGTCTTCTTTGTCATTCTTGATAGGTTTTCAAATTACAGAAGTAACAGAAATCTTTTGTTGGAAGTGGTGCTGTGGCTCAAGTGGTAGAGGGCTCGCCTTGAGCTGAAGAGCACAGGGACAGTGCCTAGGCCCAGAGTTCAAACCCCATGACCGACAAAAAATATATATATATTTTGTAAAATATATCAGGCATTACAAGTAAACAGAATAAAAGCCAGTAAAAAAAATTTCATGCCTATAATCCTACTTACTCAAGAGGCTGAGATCTGAGGATCAGGGTTCAAAGCCAACCCTGGCAGAAAAGTCTGTGAGGCTCTTATCGCCAATAAATTACTCAGAAAAAGCTGAAAGTGGTTCTGTGGCTCAAGTGGTAGAGCACTAGCCTTGAGCAGAGGCTCAGGGACATTACCTAGGCCCTGAGTTGAAGCCTCAGGCCCAGCAAGATAAATCATTATTAATATCTTGATCTACACCATTCTTGGGCCTTTCTTTGTATCAGGACTAGAAGAACTATCAAGTTTTAAGTACTTACTTTATTGCAGGTATTACACGTATTCACTAAGTTCCTAGTATTTTTTTTTGGGGGGGGATGGGTCCTGTCCTGGGGCCTGAACTCTGGGCCTGGGCGCTGTCCCTCAGCTCTTCAGCCCAAGGCTAGCGTTCTACCACTTGAACCACAGGGCCACTTCCAGCTTTTTTCTTTTCCTGCTTATGTGGTACTGAGGAATTGAACCCAGGGCCTCATGCATGCAAGGCAAACACTCTACCACTGAGTCACATTCCCAGCCCCCCTAGTATTTTTAATAGAAGCACAGATTAAGGACAGATCTAGTGATGTGTCCAAGGTCAAACTGCTATTAAGTAAGAGCTGGAATTTGAACCTGGGTAGGCTGTCTTCAGAACCCACAGTGCTAGACAAGTTGATTGTGAATATGTCACAAGATAAAAAGCTTGCCCACCACCCCATGGCTCCTGGATTCTAAGTTGTGTGGTGCTGGCCCTCACTGTCTTAACCCCTCCCAGGCTACAACAGAAACGTCTTTTGACCAGGCCAATTGAGAAATGAGCATTGAACCACAGCGCCCTCTGGCCCCTCCAGCAACTCTGAAGGGCTCATTCCAGCAGGGTTGACCTGCTGCATTGAAATTCGAGATGAACTCTTATTGGTGGGGGTACTGTCTGGTGAACTGTCACTCAGCTATTGAGGAGAAAAGTAGAAGAGTAAGAATGCAGGTATGGCTTCCACCCGCCGGCAATTCCCTGAAGTTCAGGAGAGCCATACCCAGAAGGCATAGTGTCCCTGCAGGGGAAGGGATTTTCGTGATGGTGAGCAGGTGGAGTCTGTACCTCTTCCCTCCCTTCCAGCCCCCTCCCCTGATGTCACCTGGAGCTAACTAACCTGACACAAGGCCAGGCAGGATTTTCTGTGTGCCTCCACTGAAACCCATTTATCTTCCTGCCTCTTCCCTTCTATGCTAGGAGATGGTTATGAGCTAATCTTCACTCCGAGTCAAGGGTTAAGGACTCTTGAATTTTCACACCAGCTTTCAGTGCGGTAAATCCAGCACCACACACACACACCAATAACCGTCGTCAGGCAGATAATGTTGAGGAGGACTGAGCAGACCAGAATTTGCACATTAAGCCTGCGTGGATATTCTTTACTCCCGAGAGGATATTTACTTATATCTATTTTGTGCTGAAACACATTGCCTCTGGGTCTGTCTTTCCATTTTCTGCTCACTTTTAATAAATAGTAAATACAGATAAATATGTCTCCACAGGGAGAAAACCTACCGCAGGGCAGAATGATAAATGCTAACCATCTCTTGGAAAACTAAAGGCCCTACTGGAGCTTAGCTCTGGTGGCTCATGTCTGTAATCCTAGCCTCTGAGGAGGCTGAGATCTGAAGATTGAGGTTTGAAACTCTGGGGTAGGAAAGTCTATAAGATTCTTTATCCTCCAGCAAAAAGCTGAAAGTGGAGGTGTAGCTCAAGCGGTAGGGTGCTGGCCTTGAGCAGAGAATACCAAGGGGGAGCCCAAGGCCCTGAATTCAAACATCAGTACCAGTACACATTAAAAAATTTTTTAATTTATTTATTGCCTGTCCTGAGGCTTAAAC